CAACATATCATGGCTGTCGGAAAGACCCAGGAAGCAAAGTCCGGTCATAACCAGACTAATAACAAAAAGTTCTGCACAAGGTGTGTACAGCTTGTTGGTTAAAGAAAAACTGACAACCATGATAGGTAGGCAGATAAAGAACACAAAATAGGGAGTCAGTGAGTTCCAGGAGTATTGAGATTCTGTGCTTTCTAGGTCTATGTCCATGTCAAACTGTTGCTGCAACATTGTAGCCAGTGTGACAGCATCTTTCTGCTTGCGGCGCTTGTAAAACATCTGTGAACAATTCAACACATTGTATGAGATATAATATCTGTGAACAGTTAAATAAATTGGATGAGATATAACAGTCACACACAGCTGGGTGAGATAAAACAATCATGCTGATGTTGAATACGCGTAAAAGTCAGACTCAAGTTGCATGAGTTATAGCAGTCAGGTTCTTTTCAGCTTTTTCACCCTATCGTGTCGGCTTCAAGATCTGGTAGGGAATTCTTTGGTAGTTTCCTGGAAGGTCCTATAGTACAAGGGGGTTAGGGTTAAGGTTAATGTTAGTCGGTGGTCATTTAACAGTAACCCTATGATACTAAAACTGCTATGTTCTAGGCGTGTCACGTGTTGGTTGTTTTCCACCTGTTTATCATTTATTGCATCATCATTTCCAGTGTGTGTTACTTTCATTCGTTGGTTGCCATCACTGTGCCCTGTTTGCAAACGGTGTTCTAACTTTGTGACTTCCCTTTCACCATGAATTTCCTGACCTGCCAGCATCTAACCCTAATCCTAACCGATAAGTATGCCTACATGTTGACTGCCAATCCTCTTCAGGGGCCTTCCCTGTCGACACCCCAAGATACCCTTTTTTCAGGGCTGCCAAAATGCATTGCACTACCTAAGGTCTACTTAACAAAAACAAGCCGAACTTTACGAGTCTTTAAGTGAATAACAAAATACAGTGAAGATCATATTAGAGGTGACATTACAGATATAGATAATCTATTTCGGGCGAACAAAAGAAGAAAACAAGGAAACTAATGCTAACCCTAACCTCCTACACTAAAGGACCTTAAGGGGAACTGCCTAGTAATTCCCTACCAAATCTCACAGCCGAGAAGATGGGGTGACAAAGCTGAAAAGTACCAACAGTCGCGCTAAAGTTGGATAAGCATAACAGTCACACCAAAGTTGGATGAGATACAACAGTCATACCAGAACTGGATGAGATATAACGGTCACACTGACGTTGGCAAGATATAGTATTCAGGCTAAAATTTTATAAATAACAACAATCATGTTAAAGTTGCATTAGATATAACAGCCACATTAAATATGGATGGGTCATAACAGTCTCTTAACATGGATAAATAATAACAGTCACAACTAAAGTTTGTTGACTCAACAATCACATTAAAGTTAGATAAGTTATAACGACCACTGTAACACTGGATGAGTTATAACGGTCACTCTAGCTGGATTAATAATATGAGTAACAGTCACACTTAAAATGAATGAGCCATAACAGTCATTTAAGATAAAAGAAAAAAAATAACAGCAACTCTAAAGTCAGATAAGCCAAAGTCAACTATGTCATAAAATAAGATCTAAATTAGTTAGATGTGTTCTTCTTTTCTAATCACATGACAAAAGAAAACTATTTATAGCTTAAGACCAGCATTATAAAAGTACCTGTATAGGTTTCTGGAATTTAACCTCCCACCTCATTAAGCTTCAGTCTAGTATTTTTAAGGAAAGAACTGTTAAACTCTATGGTAGCTTCTACCAAGGGACTAAAAATGGGTGTGATCATTTATTTTATACCTGTGGAGGTACTGAGGAGAATACTGGAGAAATAATGGATCTGTCCAGAGTGCTGTGATGATAATTGCCACTAATCATCCAGAAACTTCTTCTTCTTCTTTGCCTTCAATTTCGTATGATCAGATCAGACCATCAGGTGGGTTGCCTCTATAAACTCGCATGTCAGCAGCAGGTCCTTCATGGTTCCCCATAGCTTGCTCTGCACACTTTGCTCTTGAGGCAGGTGTCTTTTTGAAGTTGTAGGTAGAGTGGGCACGTCTGCAGAATGTTCTCAGTGTTTCTGGTCCTGTTTGACAGGCACACAGTGAGGACTGTACAATATTTTATTTATGCAGCAGTAAAGCCTGCAGTGTCCTGTTCATAGATGGAAAACTGTTGTATATTGCTGTCTGTTGAGTCTGCTGATGGGTCAAGAAACAAACTCTTATCTTTGATACAGCAAATTACCAGTAAATGACAAGCAAAAGACAAGCCTTAAATGCCAGCCAAACACATGTACCTGTAAAGTGGAGATCACCACCGCCAGGAAAGAAATAAAGAAGCTCATGAGAGGGATGGCCAGCAGAAGGAAACCAGGAGTCAGGTAGCTGTACACAAGCATCAGAGTCAGCAGGTACAGCTGGTTGGTGGGTATCAGCGACAGAACCAGGTGCATACCCTCTTTGCTGGCATACTCCAGTCCTCTGTCAAAAGCTATCATCAATGTTTGACGAGGATATAAAAATACCTGCAGGAAATAAATACAAACTCATGCTCAGATTTGACATCTTTGCTAGGCAGTTCTGGTTTTCTTCGCGTTTCACACCTTGGTATTATCTGCTGCAGCAAGCCACACTAAAATGTTACAACGGGTATAGAGCCAGTGGAAGACCTTGGAAAAGATGGAGTGATGGCATTAAGAACAGTCTTACAGAAATGAACATCGGTCTTAATTGTGCTCTTGACAGAGCTCATCAACGAATGTTAAATCTCCCTCCGACACTTAGCTGAAGTTCAAGGTGGAAGAGAAGAAGAAGGTTTCATGCTTAAAAGGGCAGCTACCACCATGTCTTGTGGTTTACAGCCAGGCTGGGATATCTGCAACATACCCGATTTAAGTAAACCCCAAATTATTGAGCTTTTATGACATGCTTGATAGGGGAGCAGTGGGTCCACTCTTGTTTTTTTTCTACCAATGTCTGGGACCCTGGAACCCACACTAAAGCTAAGTAGATCGCTTATGCATCACCAACAGAGTGCCGACTGGTCCATACAAATATGGTGCTAGCTGAATATGTCCTATATCACGCAGTATTGGAAATGCTGCATGATGATATGTGTGGATCATTCTTCGCTGACTAATTTTTATAGGTTTCACCCCACCACTGATTGAAAAAAAAAAAAAAAAAAAAAAAAAAAGATAATAGAAGGTTGCTGTTCTGATGCATAACGAAAGTGGAACTGCCATCTGTATGATGTCACCATATTCGTTTGCACTGTGCTGTCATGTGCTTAATACTCTCAACATTCTAAACAACAATAATTACAGGCTACAATACAATAGCAATATTACTGTATTTTCTATCCTACTTTTAAGATTTTCATTTAAAGCCCCCTAGCATGTATAAGTACAAAAATCCATACACCCAGACAGACAGATGGATGGTAAACAGAAGACATGATCTGCTATCATCATCATCATCATGTGCTTTACCGGATGGCGTAGGCGCTCATGCGTCTCTACAGATCACGATCCCTGGTTGCCTAGTTCTCCATGCCATCGTTTCAGCCCATCCAGCATCATCTCTCTTGGTCTTCCTCTACCCCTTTTTCCACTGATTTTTCCAGTTGTCACGATGTTCTCCAATGTCTCTCTCGTCTCATTATGTAACCAAAGAACAGTGTCTCTTTCTTACTGCTGTATACAGAGATCTACTTTCATTAGCTTTTTTCAAGCAATCTTTATTAGTTACTCTGGCCGTCCAAGGTATTCGTAACATTCGTCTCATAAACCACATCTCTGTTGCTTCCAAATTCTTCCTTTTTTTTTTTTCACTGACACTCCAAGATTCGCTGCCATACAGCAGAATAGGTTCTATGTAACATTTTAGCACCCTCTTTCTGATTCTTATGTGTCAATGGCATGAAAAGGTTCATTCTTATTTTTCTTAGCATTCACGGGCTGTAAACACCAGCAGAAAGTTTTGATTGTCCATCCACTTCATCTTGTTCCAGAACTTTGAGCTTTGCAAGCACTTTCATTTTACAGACCTGGCTGATTTTTCTGCATTCTGTTTGTTTCTTGTCCCTCTCGGGCAGATTCACTCCAGCTTTAGAGAAAACACCCTCAATGAGTCGCCGATTATGTCATGCTTTTTACACGGGTAATGGGTCTATTCTTTTCCCACAAGCCAACAGAGGGGAGAAAGGTCCTTTACTTTTATTGTTCTTTAGGAATGAGTATTATATAATATGTCATAAACATAGCTCACAGGATCATTATGGTGTCACATTTTTAGATAGCAGACTCAGGGAAACAAAACAAAAACAGTAATCATGTAAAGCAACTTCTAAAATAAATAAAGGCACATATTTTTTCCAAACCTTCAAATTCCCTTTTTTTTTTTTAAATAATTCTTACAATCAAATTATATTCTATGTATTCAGGGCTAAGTACAAGGAAAGAAAAGATGGGGGCTGGTCAAGAAAGGCCTGGCTCCAAAATTATGGTAGAATGACCAGCTGACCAGACCTCAAATATGAAAACATGGATACCTGTGTGGGTTCTAGAGATCCATTATTGAAGATAGCGGCGGAAAAGGGAGGGGGGAGGCACTGCTCTCCTAACAAGCATGTTGTAACAGGTGACTAACTAGGAGTATTTCCTCTGAAGTTGGAGTGTGGACATGCCCGAGAGGCCAGGAACCAACAGTCTACACACAAATAAGCCAGACTTGTAAAATAGATGTGCAAGCAAAACTCAAGTTCTGGAACAAGACCAGAGTCCAGAAGTAGACAAACAACCAGAATTTTTCACCAGCATTTACAGCCAGTGAACAAGAAGTAGAAGAAAAAAAATGAAGTCAGGAACATCTGATTGCCAGAAATGAAAACGTCTGATCAAACAGTCAACAGTAACTTAGAGATCCAATGACACACAGTGTTACAGAAATATAAGTAGACAGATTTAAATACTACACTACCTTCTGGAAAAGTCCTGCTGAATCATATGCTGCGTTTGTTTCATCCATTTCAGCTGAAGTCAGAGTCATAGTTCCATGGATCTTTTTGGACAAGATCTTCACAAAGTCATTCTCAGAAATTACTTTGCCAATTTTATTACCTGCAAATTTAACAAGGTGAATATTACATGAGGGACTGCATTCATCACTAAGAGTCTTGTTATATATATATATATATATATATATATATATATATATATATATATATATATATATATATATATATATATATATATATATATATATATATATATATATATATATATATATATATATATACACAAATCATGAAGTCATTCCCTCGTGGGATGCAATTTCTCATATTTATAGCCCCACCCTGGTTTCTGCCGGTGCCCTGAATGTAGCCGGGGTATAGATATGACCTAGCCATAGATGTAGCCTAACGGCTGAATGTGGTTTCTGGGACCTCTCCATGGGTGATCCTCATCTGCATGGTGGCACTTTGTGTCACCGGGTGTTTATCGCTTGTGTGATGTCCTGGTGGGGTACAACCACTAACTAACCAAGAGTCTTGTCGACTAGCTGGGCAATTCTGGTGCTCTACATCTTAGAACCTCCAACAGCATTCCTCAATGTTCTTCAGTGATCATCTGTCCCTTTGTCCATAAGTCTTTCCTTTTTCTTCTGTGTCGTCCTTACAAGGGCAGGTGGTACATTGTTTTTTTGGTTTACAATCAGACCTCCTGTGTCTACTAAGGGGTTTCCATTTGAAAGGGGGAGGGAGCCGCTGTGGTTTAGTGGCTAGACGCTCGGCTGCAGATCGGAAGGTCGTGGGTTCGGTTTCTGACGAGGGCCGGATTTTTTTCCAAATGACCTAGGCTTCCAGGATGACCTAGCATTGAGTGGGTACCAGGTACAGTCCTGGGAAGTAAAGGTGACCGGCTTGATGCTGACCACATCACCCACATCTGGTCTATAAAATATAGGTATAGCCCTATATACCTAATACGCCCGAAAGGCGTGGAAAAGGGTCCTCTACTTTCTTTTAAACTTATTTGAAAAGGGTAAGGGGGGGGGGGGGGAAATAGACTTATTGCCTCCCTAACTACATGTTGTAAAAATATTACTAATTAGGGATTTTTCCTCGGAAGTCACAGCGCATCTGCCTGAGTGGGGGGGGGGGGGGGGGGGGGGGGGATCCAACGGTCCACATAGAAGTAAACAAGATCTGTAAAACAGATGTGCATGCAAAATTCAAGTTGTGAAAAAGGCTGCAGTCCAGAAGTGGAGGAACAATCACAATTTTCCGCCGGAGTTTACAGCCAGTGTACACAAAGAAGAAGATGACGACTACTCGGCTGGGATATCTGTTTTATGTGGCCAATTTCAGAAAACTCCTATTTGTCTACTTTTTATGACATGTTTATTAGGAGGTAGTGGGTGTATCCCCCCCCCCCCCCCCTCCCCACCTTTTCCATGGGGCTCGCCGAACCCAGAGGGCAAATCTTTCCTGTAGTCACTAAATTCTATTTTTTCCTAAATTCTATTTTTTCAGAACTTGTGTGAGATAAATATAATGTGCATAATTACTATTTGATCAACTCTGACTTTCTGACAAATTTAATGTACTGCTTCCTACTTATTCCTATAACTTCTTGCAAGGCTCTTTAGCTGATAACACTTTGAAAGGATGTTTCAAACTGACCAGGGATCCAGGACATCTTCCGCAATTTCTGGTCATGCAGTTAATCCACTATGGGTCATAAACTAGGATGTCATCTCAAGATCTCTTGGATTTCCCTAAAGATCAGCTGTCAGGTCCACTGCTGTGGCAACATGTTGCTTCACCGCCACTACACAAGAGGATAGTCTTGCATTCTCTGGTCAATTTAGCATACCAGGAAATGTTATGAGAGGTAAAAATTGGCAGGCATATTATTAACCACATCACCTGTCAAGTGCCAATTCTTCCTTTTCTTCTTCAGCATTCTGAGCCCTTGAGGTCCACTGCTGCTTATATCACCCACCTCCATTTATCTCTTTGGCTGGCCTTTCAAATGTCTGCAGGTCTGTATTGACATTACCTTGTGCCAATTGGTCTATAAAAAATATGGGTCTAGTTCCATATGTCAGACATGCTTCCAAGGCTGGCACCAGAGGTCTCTTCAAAACCTAATGCTCGAAGGAAGAACATAGGGAAAAAAAAGGAAGAACAGATTACACTTTATTTTGCCAAACTAGTAGCCCTCTCTAGTGTAAGGCGCATTTAACTAGATCCATTGTTTCAGAACTTTTTTTTTTTTTTTTTTTAATTTTGAAAAGATGGAACATGATTTGGAAGAAACTTGATATCTCAACCTGAATTAAGGTCATCCAGGGTTTCAAGTGGGAGAAGATAAATTATACCTGGACTGGAGGATGGGACAGCTGAGGGGGAAAAAAAGAAGAAATACCTACTAACCAGCAGCCAGTAGTAGTTTTCTTTCTTTTTCATGGCCGGCTGTCAACTTATTTATGGCTTCTTTGTACTCATCCTTGGAAAGGAAACCTTTCTGAGCAGTGTTAATTTTGTAGAACAGAGACTTTGCTGCGTATCGAATTTTCTTCTCTGAAGCAGACGTATTCAGACACCATGTGACTACTGCCTTGTTTTGTTCATTCACACCTGCATATGAATATATAACATGTGTATTAGTTATTTGGTCCTTTATATTTTCTCTGACAGAAGCAGAAAAGCTGTTATACTTAGGGTGACCATATCACCAGGACAGCATAATTTTGTTTAGGTAGGCCCAGACCATACCATCGATAAAAAAAAAAAAAAAACATTGTCCCATTTTAGTATCAGCGGGATCGTCTTGGTCTACTCCCAAATATTATACTTACACGCCTTTCCTAAATGTGTTCAGAAATTAATTTTTTTTTGGGGGGGGGGGGGGGGGGGCTAACAACCCTGCTCCCAATTTTAACTAGGAAATTTGTAAGGTGGGGTGCAGTGGTGGGGTTGAGGCTCTCCTTTCCTGATGTTAACTTTGTGGCTGCACCCCTGACTGAGTTTACAAGTCGTGCAGGGGTGTAAACATGCACAAATTATGTAACTACCTATTTATATAAATATAAGCAGGAACTACAACAAAATTAGCAACTATGTGGTCATATGAATACAAGAATGCACTAGAACAAAACATACAATGATAGAATTATAAATATCTTTTTCTTCTTCAGCATTCCACGTCCTTGAGGTTCATTGCCGCAGATATCACCCGCCTCCATTAATCTCTCTGGTTGGCCCTTTCCAGTTGGTGACACCAAGTGTTTGCAGGTCTGTCTGGACATTATCTCTCTATCTTCTTCTTGGTCTTCTTCATGGTCTATGACCATTAATCTCTCTTGTGTATACAGTTTTTAACTTCTCTGTCACCTGACATTCTTTCAAAATGCCCCAACCATTTCAGTTTATTAGAGCTCTCATGATGCCAGTGATCTGTGGTGATTTAAACAGATTATGAATGGGATCATAAATATAATTACTTAAAATTGTGACTGCATACATTCCGCAAATTTATTTTTATATTATCAACAACAACAAAAAGACTAGAACAAAGTAAACAATTATGGGCAACAAATACAAATTAGTGAAAACTGTTTACTTGCCAAAATCTTACAAATATGTATTCATATGAACACATGAATTAATTAGAAATAATCATGCAAATTATGTCTTCCAAGTGCGTGAAAAACTGTAAAAACCTAACTTATGTGGTTAGGATTTGACTTTAGACAATTCATGGCGGTACTGTACAATCTGCCCGATTACCTAAACAAAATTATACAAGTAATAAGAATAACCAAGACAATGACTGTTTCAATACAAGTGGGCAGTCTAAATAAATATTAGTTATGTATAAAGTAGAGCTGTACGGAATATTCGCTTCGTATTCGCTTTGGGGCCGAATAGTGGACCTAATAACGATTTGGTATTTGGCAGAATACTTGCGGTCGGGCGGAATACGAATAGTGGTTACCTTACACCTGCTTCTGCATACACGGCCTTAATGCTGACAACAGGGAACGATTGGTTTTGTTGAAAGCTAATGCAGCTTTCGTGCATTAACTAAGCTGTCAGTGACAATTTCCAAGTTTAGTTACTTGTTATAATACTTAGAATACTTTCATTCCTAGTTGTTAGTTGCCACAGATTGACTAAAGGATGCAAAACATAAAATGTTTTTAAATGTTTACTATTCTGTACTACATTTTTAGAAGTAAACGTTTAGCGTACATTTGACATTATGAATGTTTTTTAGATTTATTTAAAACACCAAACATTATTCGTATTTTGTTGAATAGGTGGTCCCTTTATTCTTATTCGGCCGAATAGTGTTAATCACCTATTCAATTCAGCTCTAGTATAAAGTATTAACATTGAGATGAAAACCGGAGCCTGTGCCAACAAATCACAGTCTTAAGATAAGCAGCTATGTAGAAATTAGCAAAAATATGGCATGAATTAAAAAACACTAAAAAACCAATTATGTAGCTAAATTTCACATAAAAGAAGAACTAAAAAAATTATGCAACTCTAAATTCACACAAAAAGGAATAAACTACAGCAAATCTGCAAATATGAGTTCACATAAACAAAAGAATTAACTAAAACACATCACGTTTATGCAGCAAAGGTGTTAAAAACACAAATTACCAAAATTTGTTTGAACACAGTGTCTTAGTTTCTCTGTGGCTTCAACATTTCCTTGTTTGGAAGCAGCAATTAGCCAGGTCACTGCCTTCTCTGTGTTAGTATCAGCATCAATGTTCAACTCTGCAAGTTTCAAGTGATGGTACCCCAATAATAGCTGGTGCTTTTCTGAGCCATTGTTCGCTTCAGTTGTCCATAAATCAATGATCTCTGAAATAACAAAACACTGGGCATTTTTAACATGATTACAAAGGTATTGTTATTACAGATTTTCGAATATTTTGGCCAGACAAGATCACAAATGAAGAACTGAGGAGTAAAACATAATGTGCATCACAGGCAAATTTCATAAAAGTAAGACTATGGAGATGGCTTGGATATGTCTGCAGAATGCCTTGTGACACCCTGGCAGAAACAGCTCTCTGGTGGACAGCGGATGGGAAAAGAAGACGTGGATGACCTAAGGAAACCTGTAGAAGGACAACAGAACGGGAAATGAAGGAAGGTAAACTGAAATGGGATACTATAGGCAAAAAAGGAGCAGACTGGCAGCAGCGGAGATCATTTGTGAATGCCTTATGTGTCAACAGCAACATGAAGAGGATATAGAAGAAGATTACAAGTTTCATCAAAATATAAAACATGCAGGTGAGGAAGTAAAAAGTACATGACTCTTCTCATGCCATTGGCAAGTCAGAAATATAGAGCCAGATTAATACTGGGCTATCCTCCGAATAATGGTCCTAAATTATCAAGGCGGAAAATATACCCTAACAGGGCCTTAGTCACGTGTCAACTTCCGGGGACTATAACGCCCCCACCGAATTGCAAATTTCCGGGAATATACTGCCACCGCCGAGAGTATCCCCCACACCGCTCACACACCGTGGATTGGGGCTAAACTAGATGGCAAGGACTCACGAGCAAATAAAATGAAGGAAGCTGCAGGAGATGCGGTAGCTGCTGCTCATGAGTTCCTGCCATCTAGATTAGCCCCAATCCATGCCGCTTACGTGGCGTGAGGGATACTCTCGGCGGTGGCGGAAGTCGCCGGAAGTGCACAGTTTAAGACGGCGGAAGTGCGCAAATGACACAGGACTGAGGCCCTGTTAGGGTATATTCTCCGCCTCGATAATTTAGGGCCGTTATTCGGAGGATAGCCTTATACTGTTATAGACAATCGACCCTCAATGAGTGATGTGATCAGTATCACAATGGCTGGCTTTACTTCCCATGATATTCTAGGTATCCATTTTAGACTGAGTCACCCTAGGAGACAAGCTCGTTTTTAACATAGAAAACCACCTGAATTGCAGGCATTACTGAAAATATTGAGAGGAAAAGGCCACAACTCAAAATCTATCTTTTGTCATATTACACTTCTTCTTCTTTCCTCTACTCCTGGAATGCCTCATGATGTCAGGGTAAGAAGAGATCTCTGGAACAGGCCCTTCTGTTCGCTTCATATATAGTACTTTTGAGCATCTCCGATATTTGTGCGGTTCATATATTGCGTGGTCGACCTCTGGCTCTGTTACCACTGTATTTGCATAACACTGCTCTCTGTAGTACCCTGTTTGATGCCAGTCTTGTTACATGGCCAAACCATTTGACCTGCTGTCTACATATAAAGTTCAGTATTGGTTTTGTGTCGACTCTCCTCCTAATATCATCATTCCTAAGTCGATCTTTCCTCGTTACACCTAAACATTTCATTTTCTGTTGTTTCTGTTTCCTTCTGTCTTCTAAAGACAGTGTCCGTGTTAGTCACTGATATAGCATGACGTTGGTAAAAATAATTAATGTGTTGAAGAGTATTCTTTTAGTGTTCATATTCACCTGCTTGCATTTAAAAACTGGTGCCATTTGGCCTAAAACTTGATTGGCATTATTGCATCTTTGCTGGAAAAAACCCAATATATAAAACTTCACTAGCATCACTACATCTAGTAGATTGTTAATAACATTGTTAGGCTCTACTGGCAAATCCGGACGAAGAATAAACAGACTTGGACGACTTAGTCAGAGTTATCTCCCGTCGCCGCACTCCGAACAGTAATCGGAAAACAAACGAAACAAACGACACACTTACCTATCATCCTGCGGTTGCGTGTAGGGCTGCGTACGGTTGCGTGAGACATCGTGGCATCATCATATGGTTGCGTGCACAGTTGCGTACGGTTGCGTGAGGCACTGTGAATGGTTGTGTAGTCATCATCATGCGGTTGTTGGAATATAGTTAGGGGTAGGGTTAGGGGTAGGGGTAGGGGTAGGGGTAGGGGTAGGGGTAGGGGTAGGGTAGGGTTAGGGTTAGGGGTTAGGGGTAGGGTTAGGGTAAGGGTAGGGTTAGGGGTAGTGTTAGGGTTAGGGTTAGATGTGAACATTTTGACGTAGGATTTCGAAATACTGGCCGACAATATGATGTTTGTGGGAGTGGCGCCACTGAAACTCTGCCAAATATGACGCCAATAGCGTGCGGCTGGTGCCCACAATCGTTTGCGAATTGTGCGTGTGACCAGCATCCAGAGGCCCTCGATTGTTTGTGTGTGTGTATGGGACTGTGCGCGATTATAGGGAACTCCGGCGTCAAAACTGTCAAATCTAACGCTAATCCTAACCCTACCGCTAACCCTAATCCTAATCCTACTCCCTAACCCTAACCCCTACCCCCCTAACCACGCAAATTTATCGATCATTAAAGCATACAAATCGGCAAACACGAACAAACAAAACACACCCACACAAAAAAAAAAACACCCAGAATTGTCCTGCAGCGTCGAAAAAAAACCCAGATCTGGGGGAAACAACCAAGCATTGGCAGCCCTGATGTCGACGTGACTGTCTTCTTTGTTTCGTTGTGGCTTTTCCGATCACTGTTTGGAGTGCGGCGACGGGAGATAACTCTGACTAAGTCGTCCAAGGCTGTTTATTCTTCGTCCGGATTTGCCAGTAGAGCCCATTGTTATTGTTATGATCTATGATCTGTATCATAGCTTTCACTAATCGGTTTACTACTATAGTGTCATCAGCAACAGTTAACCAACATATGCATACGTGCATTAGAACCGTGCACCTATTACTTGACATGATAACTTACCATCACCTATCTGTGAGTCTTGTTCTGAGGCTTGGTTTTGCTCTGGTTCAGGTCCGGAATCTACAGTCAGCTCTTGTTTACTTACGTCGGCCATTTTCACACACAACCATTAGCAAAGTCACGTGATATCTGTCGCTTCCTCCATCGACCATCAGTCGTCTTTGTCTTTATATTTGAAGACGAGGCAGCAATGTAACTGTTACAATTTCTGTCCGTCTTAGGACGAAATTTTTCGTTATTTGAAGCCCTACCCTGGGGCCGCAATATAGCCTGGCCATAAATATGACATGGAGGCTGAACGCGGTTTCTGGGACCTCACCACGGTGATCCTCACCCACATTGTGTCATCGGGTGTTTATCGCTTGTGTGATGTCCTGGTGGGGTAAAATAAAACGTCAGTCAATCTGCAATGATAACCCGTACATATAAGGACCTGGAATGGCTCAGAGATTGTTTTCAGCCGCCTGCAGAGACTTTGTGTTGACCATCGGCCTAAACAACATACAGATGATTGGACAGGACATAAGTACACCCCTCACTGATCAGATTATGGATGCGAGAGTTGGAAAGCAACAGTTGCTCTTGATTTAAAAAAAAATAGACAAATTTTGAGAACAGACGTCTTAGAAGAATACTAAATCTTCACTGGACAGATTTCAGGTCCAATACACAAATAAGACAAGAGACCAAGCAAGAAAATGTATCCAATTTTAAAAGAAAGCGCCGCTGGAACTACATCGGCCATGCACTCAGAATGGATAAGACAAAACTCCCCCATCAAGCCTTCATATGGACACCGGAAAAAGGGGGGGGGGGCGGAGAAGACCAAGAGAGACTCTGCGTAGAACCATCATCAGGGAAGGCTCAACTATCGACTTAATGAATATCCAAGACCTTAATCAGGTGGCAACGAACCGCCAGACATGGAGAGCTTTGACCTCTGCCCTGTGCGCCGCCTTAGGGTCACGAGGAAAGACTGACTAACATCGGCCAGAGTTTAAAATTACCAACTGAAGACTGTCAATGTCATTCAGACTGGGGTAGTCAACAGATTAATCTCATTGCAGATTAAACCATTCAGTCCATAAGCGCTCATATCCCTTCCTTGGTAAATCCCGCAGCCGACAGCGGCTGACATCACTAGTTCAGTGTTGGTTTCTCGTTCTTCTTTGGCTGCTAGCATAGTGCTTTTGTCCGGCTACATCTCTTTTAACATGTTCTTGCAGTCTCTTTATGGTTGCAGATTCAGTAATCACTGGGTTCTCGCAGACGTCTTACTTCTCGCAGAGCATTCAGCTTATCTACCTGGTCCATGGCGAGTCCGTCTTCCACACAAGCTTGTTAGCTTGCTCATTTCCTTGCACGTCTGCGTGCCCTGGCACAAATATGAAACATGTGTGTTAGCCCCGACCGCTTTAGAGACTCCGGTCAGTGTTGTCGCATTCAACCCACTATCTACTATGACTTTCTGAGCTTACTCATTGAGTCACAAAGAAGCATGCAAGGAAAAAAAGTTCTGTCTCCAGCCATGTTATTGCTTTAGTCACTCTCATGACCTCCATATTCAGACTACCTGTAGTCAACGTAACAACACTATCATCTTTCTTCATAGTAACCTGGGTCGGAGATCATCTCATGGCGAATCACAGTTGTGCTTCAGTATACGTTTACGTAACTATTGAAATGCATCTGAAATTTCGTGTGCCTTGTATTCTTTGTGTCGGCATTATTTGAAGTCACCACGGCAACACATTGTGTGAATAAAAATGTTGGCTGGCCCCTTTCCGGTACCCAATAGTCGTGTGGTCAACAGTACACTGGCCGTCTTTACCTACCATGAATTTCCATGTACCCATTTTACCCTGGGTCAACAGGAATGCTCGGGTCAGTTATAAAAAGAAAAGTAACCCAACCCCAATCCGGATTTATACCTGAGACCTTCGGTTAAGAAAGGACCCTTTTCCCCACCATTAAGCTCATTAGGCATGCATTAGGCATGCAGTGCTAGACTTGTATTTGTAGACTAATGAGTACTCGATGGGAGATATAGTCAAAATCACATCTACTGCCTTTACTTCCCAGGACTTTACATGGCAACAATTTACAAGACTGGGTCAACCTGGCAGCCAAGATTTTGTTTTTTGGAGACAAAAATATATAAGGCTTTAGTCAGATTTGAACCCATTACCTACGTATCTGCAGGTGAGCAAATAAAGACAGTCAAAACTGTACGCGTATGTGGAAAGCTTAAACAGGTGGATAACAAATGATATTATTTTAGCAGTAACAACCCCAAAATAGTAAATGACAGAGAAGTGTTGGGTTTCATTATCGGTAATGCCAACTCTATTTCAGATACCCAATAAAAATGACCAATCTCACAATTAAGAATGCGTTCTCTCATTTTCCTCGATTCTGTCTCTTTAACTTCTGCACATCAAATAAGATACGGCGAGGTTTGAACTAGCCGGCGATAGCGTAGCTATCTGCAGGGCCTCCCAAGTCGGGTAGTCAAAGGGTAGAGAGCAGGCAAAGAAAGATACATTGGCCCTCCAGAAAGATTAACGAAGGCGGGTGACATTTGCATCAGTGAGCCTTAAGGATGACCTACTTGAGTCGGCCATGGCCAGACCGTCTCTTCTAACTGTCCCATCGTCATTTCATACTCAATTTCCCCTTCCTGTGATTTTGTCGTCTCCTTGTTTGTATTCTCCCTCCCGCTGAGAGGCCGTTGTGCATCCTAGAGGCGATACTGCTCATTTTGAGAAACACTACCAAATATTCGATAACATCAGTATGCTAACGACTGGCAGACTACGCGCCACCGCCCAAGCTATATATAATACTGTATTTCAGTATGAGATGACATATCTAGTCATCCTCTGTGGGATGCAATTTTTCGTTATTTGAAGCCATACTCTGGCTCTTGCCGAGGGGCCGCAATATAGCCCGGCCATAAATATGGTCTAATGGCTGAACGTGGTTTCTGGGATCTCTCCACGGGTTATCCTCATCCACATGGTGGCACTTTGTGTCATCGGGTGTTAATCACCTGTGTGATGTCCTGGTGGGGTAAAAGAAGATAGATAGATAGTATGGGAAGTTGCAATATGGAGATTAACCCCTGCTGCTTGAGTGTGGTTGTTGACATAACCTGATATAAACTCACCAGCATGGTTAGATTCACAAAAGAAATTTGAATCAGAGCACATGTTAGCCGGAAAAAAAAATAACAATTAAAGCTAAACGTATTGTCACAAGACGATTTTGTCACGTGTCTAAATTAGAGTCTCCACTAGTATTCTAAGACACTCCAAATGGATATATTGTTGTGTTGGCAGATCCTATTGGTCTAGGTGGTACTCGAACATCCATCCAACACCACTTCAGGGGTAAGGCAACTCAAGTATTTGGTACCACATAATTTCCACACATATTCCCGGGAACAACTTGGCCAGACTTCCTCACCGCTTAATGAAACCCAGAGTTAATAGGATCACTCTCACAGTCAAAATAAAAACACAGTATCAATAGAAATCTGATAGCACAACAACAACAACAACACACACACACACATGTAACTAAAGTGAACTGTGAAATACCAGACACCAACAAATGAAAGTTCAGAATAACAATGCGTGATGTAATAAGTTCCAGACAATATAAGAAATCTCAATGGACTGACACAAAAGAAAGACCAATTTAATAGTATGACACAAATAATGTCTCACGCAGGAATGACTACCAGCCTGACATAAATTCACTGATTACTTTCCATCTCTGCTCTGGTGATGTAATAAGGTAATAGTAAGCTCGAGGTATGAATTGACCGGTTGGCTGTACTTTCTGGTCTTATGTATTTATCATCAGTTGAAGAGAATGGTTGACCAGTTCTCTTTACCTTTGCCTGTTCCGTCTTGGTTAGTGAAACATCTTGTCCCCTTAGTGAAATGTTCATTTCATGCAGCTCCAGGCTGCACTCCCATGTCCACCAGTCTATACAGGGATACGGAGCCATGCTCTTTGGTGTGCTCGTCGTTACGGTAGTTGCTGCGCACGAAAGGCATTGATAACATCACTTCTGTCCAGTACCGGACCAACCATAGCAAATGCAGTGTCAGCAAGATAATCTGCACGCTCGTTCCCTTAAACACCCGCTTGACCTGGCCCAAAGAGTTAGGGCAGCTATTCCCGAATTGCTTAGTATTGCAATGCATGCTTGCCTGATAAAATCAGTTTGGATTTTTTAAAGCATATTCGTCGAGTCACTAAGTATGCACACGTGTGTGAACTCTTGAGTACCAAACCGTGCTAATGCCAGCATTGCAGCCATGGTTTCCATTGTAAGGCTACTAGTTGTAACAGCGAAGGCGCCATTCATCTCCTTGATGAAAACAAGAATAGAGTCACTGCCTACCCAAAAGCATGTCCTTAGAGTTGACTAATTGGGAGCTTCCTTCAAAGTCTACATGAGAGGCAAGGAAACTGCAGTATGCATACAAATGAGTCAGATCTGTAAAACGGATGCACACGCAACACTCAGGTTCTTGAACAGGACTGCAGTCCAGAAGTGAATGAACAACTAGAACTTTCCGCCAGAGTTTACAGCTGGTGAACGCGAAGAAGAAGTATCTGGCGTACATTTGTTTAGATCGTGTTTGAGAAGTAGAGAATTAAACATATTTAAATTAAACTTTAAAAAAAAAACCTGATTCTGTGTTAATAAGATTAGCTAAGATGAAACTACGAAACATGAAACCTAAACCAACATATTAACTTTTGAATTTCATTTTAAAATAGGTTTATTTTGGGTCAGAAAAATCTAAAAAGATAAATGACAAGGAATCGGTTAAATTAACATCAAAGATGTATATCATAACGTAATAATTGATGGAAATTCAATAGTTTGAGACATTTTACGTTTTCTTAATAAGATAAAAATGATAACAGATGATGAAAAAAGCCCTGATACAAAGTAAATATACTGGGCTTTGCCCTTCAACATTGGGGGTGGGGGGGGGGGAGGGTGGGGTGGGGTAGGGGACTCTCTGTGCTGCCTTGTTCTAGTGGGTAATTAAATGGGTGAACGGGGGTTAAAGTGGCCTGAATCGCCAATGTTCTGGCATCTATGAACGGTAAGAACCTTAGCCTTGAATGATTCAGACAGTTTTTATCAATGTTAGCAAGTACTATTAATCTAATTATAAATACGTCGTAATTAACATCTTAGGGGATCAAGTGGAAATCTAAGAATGAAGCAAAGTGGAATAATGTTGTCAAGGAAAAAAATTATCAGCAAAAAAGTAAGGAACCAGACAATTCGAAATTAAAAAGGCCCTCGCCGTATTCTCGTTGGCGGGTCATTCCCACAATTCATCTTGAGCCGGCGCAGTTCCCGTTTCGCGTGTATTGAGTCGCCATAATAATGAATCTGGTGTGTTTATTTTCGATAAGTTAACCGATTATTTTAAACTTAAACGCAATTTTCAGCTTCTAATATTTGTTTTTCCTTTCTGTTTCAGAACATGTTTGACGAAAGCAGCACCAGAACCCTGTAAGTATATTATAAAGATGTTAATTTCTTTATTCTCACAATGACTCGAAACTTTCTTATCTTATCTCGCCATATGGTTTTGCCGTCTTTCCCTTCGTTTGTTTTACAAACTTTTCTCTTTCGATTTCCAGGTATGTTGGAAATCTCAGTGAAGTCGTCACAGAGGAGTTTCTACTTGCTCTCTTTGGACAAATCGGACCTTGTAAATTCTGTAAAATCATCCATGAGGTAAGGAAAATGTTCGATTTGTATCCAAGTGTCGTATGGTGATATAACCCACTTCAAAAATGGGAATTACCTCCCCTCGTCTATTGTGTTAATCTCAAATGATTTCACTGTATCATACTTCGAATAGCTGTCCAAAGTAGTTTTGTGGGTGTGTTCAACCATTTACGAACATACATTTTTATTTTAAATCTAGAGCCTAGTAATGAACACTAAAATACACTATTAGTCAATAATCCTAGGTGATATTACTACAAATTACAAATGTCAGTGTAGTCACTACAGCACATCTGTAGGAAATGTAGTCTTTTACATTCTAGGAAGAGCTAACAAATACATTACCAATGAGTTGAATAATAAGTAGATTCTGTGTAGTATTTGTCCTTTATGTCCTGTGACTCACTTGACGATTTACTTCAGTCAGCAAATTAGTTTTAAATTTGCTTTACTATTCATTTACTAAATCGTTTAGCTGTCTTGATATAAGCCGTCATAAGCTGATTCCACATTTTTCTCAAACACTTCAGACATTAACCTGATTACAATGTGCATTTTATTTATAGAAAGCAGCAGTCAACTTACGGTTGTTGGTATCTCCATAGATTGTCTCTGAATGAAGCATGTGGATGGACAAAATGCATTTACTGTTTTTTTATAGGTCCTTCTTCCAAGCAACATTTAACTTACTTTTATTTTACCAACTCACAGTTAGTTCATCAGTAACTCATATGCATGGATTATTGAATTGTTATAATAATAGTCTGTGGCTTAGGCATTGCGATTGTGCTTTTTTATAATGCTGGGGTGCCTTGTTCGATTCCAGCTGGGGATATTTTGTCTTGCGTTGGTTTTGACAGTGGCACCGAGAGCTGACCGGTTGACCGTTTAGAAAGCAGTAGCAGACTATTGAACGTAACATTTGTCTAGAAAAATCATGCCAGCTAAAATAGGCTGGGGCTTGTTCTGCAACGTCCGGTAAAGGATACACAACTAACTAGCCATTAGAAAGCACTAGCACACAAAACCCCTCATCTTTCTCGCCACCTTTGCACTGCCCCCTCTTCTTTGGCTACCCCCAATGTACCTTGAAGTATAGTCATAAAATCATGCCTTACCACAAGCTAGTTTGTGACGTTTAACCACTGCCAGAAGAGGTTCCTGATGTCCTGCAAATTTACTAATCTAATGTGTCCCTTACATATAAAAAAAAAAGTTCTAAATAGCTAATTCATCATATTTATATCATTTATGTTCTAAAGCTTGAATCCTCCTTTCTTTTTCTGCAATGAGAATCTAACTCTCACATCTGTATAAGAAGATAGATAATACCAATCATTTATATGTTCTTCCACATCATATTCGGATGGACATCGAGGCTGTTGCCACATTTAAGTCTTATCCTAATCTCTTTGGTACAACTGCCATTGTTACACTGCTAGCATATCAGTGTATTAGGCATTATTTGCTCACTACCTTATAATACACATCTTTCAGTATCCAAGTGTCTCCACTTCAGCTTCTAGCTTTAGTTTGGTTGCATATTTAACCGACATCACATATTTTGCTTAGTAGTAGACTTCATGTCTGATATGGCAGATAGGCTGGCTGGCCGCCGACACTGCAAAGTTATTTATTTCTAGTCACCTGGGGTGACATGTCTGCAGTGAAATTGAACCTCGGCTAATGACTGACTTAGTAGCATTGCTGGGTTTTCAAAGTAATGTTTGAAAACAGCAGCTTGGCAGGGGTGGATTTATTAGTGGCTCCCAGACATGTTGTAACAGGTGACTAGGTGTTTGCTGAAATGGGATGTTAGTTAGTTATTCGACAGATTATCCTCATTGCACGTCGAACCACTCAGTCCATAAGTGCTCGGATACCATCCTTACTAAATCCCGCAGTGTGTAGCGGCTGACACCAGTTCTGTGTTGGTTTATTATTTTTCTTTGGCTACCCGAGTAGTGTTCTTGTTTGGCAACACCCTGTTTAACATGTTGTTGTTGCAGATTCACAGTTCTCAGTTGGTTCACGCAAACGTCTTAACTCTCTTAGCTCATTCAGTATATCAGCCTGGCCCATGGCTTGTACGGCTTTCACAGTAGCCTCACCTGCAAGCCTATCAGCTTGCTTGTTTCCTTGTACCCCCACATGTCCAGACACGAAAATGAAACTAATCCTTGTCAGCCGTGAATTCTGTAGAGCCACCAACCACTGCCTTCGGACCCAGCCCCTCTCTTTCTTCCTTCACAACTCTCTCTCCAAACTGAGCCATGAAAGCCCACAAGCTTCTAACATGGCGGATTACAGAACCATCTGTGTAAATGACAGCATCACTCTCTAGAGCATTTTCAAAAATCAAGGCTTGAACTTCTGCTTCCACAGCAGCCTGACTCTGTTTTCTGCAATTTCTGTCTAGTTGGATGCAAACAGAAAAGGATGTACAGCACTCTGAAGGCACTTGCACCCACTCCTCGCCAGGTTCTATGTTCTCAAGTGAACATACCTGTGAAATAATGTCCTTGGCTTGACCCATCCATGATTTGTCTCTATTTAACCTGCTGCCTTTTATCATCTTGATTTGACTATGTAATGGATGTTGTGTGTCCGCCTTGACTGAGGTAGGAACAAGTATTCTGTCTTCCATAATCGGAAAATCGAGAAGGTAGCTCAAAGCCCTGCATGCTGTATCTCTTTTACACCCAAGTATAATGTGCATAGCTTCGTTCTTTATCCTCTCCATCTGCTTATGGCTGAGAGTCAGGATCGCCATCGCGTATTAAAAAACGGAAAGGACCAGACCCTGGTATAGATGACGCTGCTCACAGTTTGCTGCCGCCATCACTCTCATCGCAGCCAGAGCCCGCTTGGCTTTTATTAAAATCCTATCTATGTGCTCAGTATAAGCAAGGCTTCGATTAAAATGTATCCCCAGGTATTTCATTGCATTCGTTCTTTCCACAACCTCAGAACACAAACAACTGGTGTTGGAAATGGGATGTGTTGGACATAAAGGTGCCGATATAGCCTAGCTGTAAATTAAACCACAGCATAATGTCTTAGCTGCCATTTAAAGGCAAAAGCAGCAGCAGCAGCAGACATCCTCATCATGTTGCATAAGTTCTTGAAGTTTGCAGTTTATTTTATAGTTGTTGACTCATTGATGCAAAATGTTGTGTTCTGAAGCTTTTGTGTTCTTAGCTACAGTGTTGCTGTACATGAAACCACTTCTCTCTGTGTGTGTTTTTGGGGACCCCATTTTGGGAAAAACAAGAATAGACCCACTGCCACCCCAACAAGTGTGTTGTAAGAGTAAAATAATTGAGGGCTTCCTTCGAAGTCAGAATGTATCTGCCCGAGAGGCAAGAAATCACAAATCTGCATAAAAATAAATAAGATCTATGAAACAGATGTGCACACACAACATTCAGGTTCGGGAACAATACTAAATTTCAGAGGTGGACAAGCAGAACTTTCTTACAGCCGGTGAAGATGAAGAAGTTACTTCTAAGTAACTTTTTTTTTGCATGCAAAGTAATATCTCACTGTCATTTGTGTTTGTTGGCTCGTTTATGCTTTATTAAAAAAAAAAAAAAAAACTTTTAACACATTCAACCCTACTGAAGACAGCTTCAGATATAATTGTGATCTGGTTTTATTTGCTTGCACCAGTGTAATTGGCTTAAGTGGTTTGTTGTGTTAGTAATTGTCCTTAACTATGTGATGGTGTCCTTTTTGACATATCTGAGTCCTCTCCATTCGTCCTGAGGCCCTGATAAAGGGTTCCATTTTGCGTTTTTCTCATCCTGGCTGTGATTCCTATATGTTTTGAGAATGTCTGTCATCAGCTGTCTTATAAATTCTCATAATTTACAGTTTGTTGAAATCTCTGTTTTAGGCATATTGGGCTGAGATAGAAGTAACACAATGAGGTAGTGCAGTGATACAATGCTATATTTCCATGACTGCATCTTTCCCTCATCCTCACAGGGATGGGTCACTTGAGATTACCTTTAAACTACAGTTCTGGACAGTCTAAATATAGTTAGATATAGACAACTTCATCTAGATATAATACATTATCTGTCTCCATTTATTTCTTTGTAAATGAGCCAAAACACTGCAGTGTTTCTAGGCACCAACAGCAGCAAAGCAAAATCCAAATTTGGACAGCATGCTTCTTTTATGTAGCAAAAATGGATGTGAGATGGGGATCATCTGACAACCTCTAAGGGAGAAAATTTGGGCTTTTTAACTGAAATGCTACCGAGAGATTAATGCCATGGACCTAGAAGAAAAGAAATAAGCAACAAAAGGAAGAGGAGCATGGTAGCACAATGACTAGAGGCTCACCTGCCAACCTTTTTTTAAAATTAGTCCAATTTTTTCATTGACATTTTTGTTTCATATTCACCTGAAAAGTCAATATTTGCCCCTCCTCGGACTTGGCTACTGAGTCAGCTGATCATGAGATAGCTCAGTCACAAGTGGTGATTGAAAGTGATGCATTAACTATCTGTTACAGAAAACTGTGGAAAATGTAGAAGCCTGAACCGAAAAGTGGGGTCTAAAGCTAAATAATTCAAAAAGCACAGCATCACTTTTCTCTCTCTCCCCCCAAAAAAGAAAAAAAATCGAAATTTGGATAAAAAACCAGCTCATTCCACAGACTGACACTCCTACCTTTCTGGGCGTTACACTGGATTCGCGACTAACTTGGAAGTCACATGTAGAAGAAGTACAGGGAAAAGCATTCAAGAAGCTTGCAGTGATGAAAAAATTAGCGGGTACCACATGGGACGCTAACTCTAGAATCCTAAAACAAGTATATACTGGAGCAGTCAGGCCAGTCATGGAATATGCCCCCACTGCATGGGCTGCAGCAGCCAAGACAACACTGGGAAAACTGGACAAAGTTCAGAATATGGGATTAAGAATTGTTCTCGGAGCCATGAAAACCACTCCCATCAGAGAGATAGAAAGGATAGCAGATACTGAACCAC